CGGCCAGCCGCACCTCCTCCAGGTGCTCGTCTGGATGGCTGGTCACCGGGGCGGTAGGCAGGATGGGGTGAGGCGGGGCCGATGGAGGGAGAAGCACTGGCCACGGGGCCCCTGGCCGGGGCTGTGATTGTCGGGCTGAGTGACTTCCTGCTGGGGAGCAGAGGGGCAGGTATTGCACTTTCACTGCCACAGTTACATGAAAACTTGGTCCGCAAAATAATCGCTGCTTTATACATAATGCCTGAAACAACAATGAAAAGCTACATCTTAAATATGAGTAGACCCTGAAGGTTCCATCCCTCCATTTTTCTCTGCACAAAATAAATAGCTATCGCTCGTGTAGGCCCACCTGTGCAGGACAGCGACACGACCCTTTGGCTGTACATATCTACACCCGGGAGCAGTTAGCATCGATCCGTGCACCTCCTGGCCCAGCCCCTGGGGCCCTGAGGCTGTGTCCAGGTTGGCAGGTGGTGGCAGGTTCGGCGACAGAGCCTATGGCTGGCCGCGGCCCAGCAGCTGCTGCCCGTGGGGCGGTGGGAGGGGCAGCACGGCCGACACGGGCTTGCTCGTGCTGATGCGCAGGCCCAGGGAGCAGGACAGCCAGGGCTGTTCGGGTGAGAAATGACTCGAGGCTGCCTGCCCTCAAGCTGACGAAGCGAGTGTGGCTTCTTAGATTCGGCATCGAAACGGAATTGGCATTAAAAAACCTAAGTGTGCGCCCCACCCTCCCCGGAGTAGAAATTCGGTGGGCTCCATGGGGCTGGGCGAGGCAGGGAGCCCACGCCCGGGAGCGGGCAGGGCAGGGCCCACGGGGCCCAGACCAGGCTGGGCTCCGTCACAGTGCTGGGTGTTTCCGATGTAGAGGGGCTGCACTTGGTACAGAAAGAGTTAAGAAAAGGAAGCAGCCGAGGATTGCTTGTTTAAAAAAACCTCATAGAAATCAGACCGAGAAGTAGAAAGGCGTAGAAACGCAGCGGCCGGCCGGCCGTGGCTCGTGGCCTTGACCGATGACAGGCAGGGAGCGGGCGTGGCCAGGCCTGGCTGGGCCCCGGGCCTGAGGTGGGCTACTCGGGCGCCAGCTCTGGGCGGCG